TCATAAAGTGTTCATCTGAGATGAGACATAAGTCAGGAGGCTATGAAAAAATTAATAAAAATAGAAATGAGGGTGCTTAGCCAGAAGCAATAACCATCACACAACAAAAACCTCTTTGAGACAATGCCAAAAGAATCAAAGGACTGTTTAGGACTATGGGGAACAAGTTGCCAATTGCTCTTTCAATGTATTGTTGGCTGCAGCCTTTGTTCTTGCATGAGGTTATTATTTCCACCTCTCCCCATAGTCTACAGTTGTGTCTCGAATTTACAAAGTGGGAGCAGTAGTGGCTGGTGGCTTCCATCTCCATGAAGTGATGAATTCACTCCAGGTTTTAGTTTATGTATATGGCTGTATATGTATTTTGGGGAATGCGGCTCACAACTTGAATAGTGCTTTGAAAGTTTAGGCAAAACCTCCAGAAGAAAACCTATACAAATACTTTATTCCAATTTTGGCTGACTTCATGGGAACTACAATAGGAAAGATAGAACCAGAAGTGGACAAATTGTTCAGGATAAGCTCCAAAGTAGCGAAAGAAAAGAACTTGCCCAGAGATATTGCCATTTAAGATGAGCTATGGAAAACGATTAACGGTGGATGGTAATGAGATTTCGGTTTTTAAAGACATCCCAACGAGACTTTTGAAAAGGAGATCTGAATATAAATTTTTAACAACACAATTGAGATGCTAATAAGGGTAATAAAATAGCATTTCAATAGATTACCATTATAAGTAAAAGTGATATATATTAGGAAGTCATTTTATATTTAATAATATATGTTTTAGTGAAAAGAGGTATGTAGGTAGGTAATGACCATATTCATGAAGGTAGAGTAATGACCATATTCTATTTGATCTTTTTTTTTGTAAATAATTTTTTAGAATTTTTGAGTTCTGTAATTGTTTTTTTCAAATGATTTGTGCTGATGAGTTTTAATGTGTGTCCTAATGTGTTATGAGTTATGTGTAAATGTGTGTTGATGAGATAAATAAGATTTTTTTAAAAGAAAAAGAAAGAAAGGCAGGATTTAAATATAAAAAATTCACATGCACATCCTTCATTGCTATGCTGGTTGCTGACTTCTTTGTCTTGTTGTTTCACTTGAGATCTCTCCAGTTGGTTGTCAATGACCTACTGCCTGAGAGTTGTTTTTGGACATGTTTATTCTGTAAGTTTAAGAATGCAGGTCTTCCATCGGCAAATATCATCACCCAAAATAGCCTTCCCTCTTGCAACACACACACACTTTTGCTCTGAAGCCCTTTCATTCCCTGCATTTACTGAGGTGTATAACAGCTTTCCCCCACAATTTTTCCATGGGTTGGGGGTGGTGCAGGTGAAAATCTATGCAACATGCTCCAAAAGACTGCTGAGTCTTTGAATTAAAGGAAGGACCCTTTGCAAAGCTCTTGGGAACAACCTTGGTCGATGAAGCCAGATGAGGCGCTAATGAAAAGATGATTGAAAAGGGTCTTCTCCCTTCCTTCATTTGCAAGTCAAGAAGGGCGAGAGATTTTTAACTCTTGCTGTTGCTTTTGCAGAATACCCTGAGATGGCACAGTAGACTGTATTTATCTGCTGTCACTATGCATAGACATGATGCCTTCCTTACCAAAGCCATCACCATGGTTGGGGCCCTGTGCTTTCAGTGGAACCAGATCTCAGAGGTAGCTCCCACGTCTACAGGTGCATCCACAGTGCAGAATTAAAGCAGCTTGACACCACTTTATTTATTTTTTAACTTTATTTTTTATAAAATTCAATTCTACAGCGCTAGTCTCCAAATCACAATCAAATCGCAATTTTATAATTATATAAATTAATACCTCTAAGTATCTCCTGCATAATTCACTTTTGACCACACATATTTTTCCTCCGTCTTATTGTTACTCACTACTTCTCACTTATCCACACCGTATTTCACAGGGGTTTTTCATTCCTTTTCACAAATTTCCCTCCTGACTACATATTCCTTATACTTCACAGTTCTTCACTTTTTGATACTTGTATCCTAACTCCACCTGCTATTGCAAAATTCAGTTATAGAGAACCACTCTATCTCCATGATCTCTGCGTCTCTCTGATTCAACCGGGCTGTTAAAATGTCCATTTCCTTCATTTCTGCTAACTTCTAATTCTGCCATTCATCAATCATCAGTAGCGCCTTTTGTTTCCATCTCTGCACCACAAGAATCCTTGCCGCCGTTATCCTGTAAAGCAGGACTCCCCAATGCTTTCTCTCTATTTGTGACAGGATTTTATTGAGCATATTCAATAGGTAGATCTCTGGTCTCAGTTCATAATTAACTTTCAAGATCTTTGCAAGATCTTTTTCCAATAAACCTTCAATTTCGGACACCTCCACCACATATGGAACCAGGATCCACCTTTCTCTTTACATTTCCAACACTCACTAGAGTTTGTTTTGTAGATCTTAGTGATTTTGCTTGGCATTAGTTTGACACCACTTTAACTGCCTGACTCTATCCAACCGAATCCTGGGATTTGTAATTTAGTGAGGCACCAGAGCTCTCTGACAGAGCAGGCTGATTGTTTCACCAAACTACAAATCCCAGGATGGGACTGTGAATCTAATAATAATAATATAATAATAATTTTTATTTATATCCCGCCCCTCT